GCAGGACCCACGGGAAGAGTATTTTTAATACCTTGCATAGAGAAAAATCTTTCAAACCTATTTATAATTGTATTTTAATGAAAAGAAATGGTTTTCAAACTCACTTAAAAAAGGTCCATTTAAAAATAGAGTGGAACTTTATTTCTGGTCTTTTCTTTTTCAGTGAAATAATGACATTTGTTTTGGAGGGAAATACCTCTTTGAATCAAGACTAATGCCAGATTGCTCAGTATCTGAATAACTTCTGGATAAAGAGGAAACACATTGTGTACATCTAACCACAATCTGCATGCCATTTATACTTCTTAATGCGATAGCATTTTCATTAAAAGAGACAGGATGTGCACACATCAGAAATTGGCTTAATTTGTCTGAATACCTTTTTTTTAAAAACTGTGATGGTTTCCCATTGATCTCATTTCCTACCAAGACATAATTAAAACATAAATGAGGAAATCAGAATAAACTTTGGAAGCAATTGAAGAGCAAGGCAGTCTGAGAGCAGCAAAGTTGATGTCTCAAATGAAAACTATGTATTTATGAGCCTATTTTTAGGCAGCTTATTTTAGCATGCATAGATGAAGAATTTCAAAGCAAATTAATGAGTTAGATTTAAAATTAATATACAAGTCTTCAGGTGTAGACTGTGTTTTATAAGTTTCTTTCCAAAGAAATCCAGGGAATATATCAAGGACTTTATGAAGAGTGGAGTAGTACAATTAAAGTAGGAACCTAAGGCAAATCAGAGCCAGTAAAAGAGCTGCTCTACCTTTTTCAGGACACAGAATGGACTCCAGCTTTAACAAGGAACTTTTTATCACAAAGTTTTGCAGACAGACATTTTTAGGAAACATGCACTCAAATCAATTTGAAACTTTTATCTTTCTGATTTTTCAATCTACTAATTGGACCTTGAGTAAATTCTAACTACTGATAAACTAATAAGCTTGGTGAGTTATGGCTCAGCAATCAACTCTTTATAACTCAGTAACTACCTTCCACCATGGAAAATACTAGCTAAAGACTACATTCCTAAACGGAACAAAAGCATTAAAAGATCACCTTAGCAGTTGGTAATTCTTGGGCAATTACAGAAAAGGTATAATGTCTAAAACATCCAGCTCCACTTAAGTCAAGATTCCATGCCATTTTAACCCTTCTGATGAACTGCTTTAACATATGTAATATTAATCTTCATACTGTCAGTAAATAGTGAAGCACCTCCTCAATCCCTCTAAAACACACAGAGTCTCATGGACAGAGAAGCAACAATTCAGTATATTAAGAAGGCACATGAGTATGGAAAACATTACTGTAATCTTACTTCGGCTCTCTTCAGCATCTCCCACTTATTAAGTATCTTCATGGCAAAAACTTTATCTGCATTCTTCAGTTTTACTACTGCAACCTGGAAATGGGAAATGAAAGATACATAAGCCACAATATGAAAATGCATACTGTTTTCATTTTTATGCAATCTTACAGTTTTGGAGGTCTTTCCCTGAGCGTTCTAGACACATTTTTACTATTCATACAATACCATGTCACCATGAAAGAAACACCACAACAGCACAGGAAACTTCCAAGTCTATTGTAAGCTTTCATTATGTATCACACTTTCACTATCTATCATTTTTTCTAGGTTACAGCCAATGAGCAATGAGTATTTCTGACTATCACACTTCTTGTTCTGTCCTACTACCATGAATCTACCTCTGGCTCTATGCTTTATGTTCCTAGACTTCTGTCCTGCACACCAACTTTAACAATAGAGCTGTCAAGAAAATGTAACAGTGTAGCAGTTTCTAAATCAAAATAAACAATGTATTTTGGATTTTAAACACAAATCAGACTGCAGAGCAGCCATAAAACAACATCCCCTATCATTTCAAATAATGCACTAGACTTTCTTCAAGGATATATTAAAGTATGACTTCACATTTTTCCACTACAAGTTCAATGAGCTCCTTATCATATCTGTTGTCAGAAGCAGAGAAACAGTGAAATCCACAATTTCTAGAGAAGTAAAACTGAAGAAATACAGGCCTGCCCACCTGCCCCTCCTCCCCCCATTGCTTATGAAACACTAGATACCACAGGCTTCTGTAATAATAAATTAACAAATCTCACTGACACAGCCCTTTTCTGAGAATATTTGTTTTGTTTAGCTATAATGTAAGCTAACGTAGAATATTTTTAGGAAAGAGGGAAGGAAGAAGTTCACACAAACATGTTTTCACAGTTGAGGCTTCCCTGGGCCTGGAAAGCTCAGTGTCTTAACCAAAATGGGTATGAATATGCTGCAAATTTAGAGCTGCTCACCAAACCACAGCATTATCATCCCAACTACAGACAAGTTCAACAATTCACACAATTTAACAACCATTCTCCAACTACCCCATTTTGCCTTTTCCCCTTCAAATAAATCTTAATGCTTAAGCAGATAAAAGTTTGTTTCTGTGTGCATCTGGTTACAAACCATCATGCTGTCACACAGATTATCATCACCTTCATCCTGCAGGCCAGTGACAAAAAAATACGAAGGTTGAATCCTACATTCGTTCCTCTGCTTTCATTATCAGTAAACCAGCTATGTGTGAAGACAGTGATAACAGAAAAGAAAATACAGGATTAGACAGTTCGAAGAAAGTGTCATGCAAACCTCTTTCAACCACCTTCAGATGTGTCATCAGCTTCGTGAACATGGCAAAAGCACAGGTTGAAGGATTCCAATACTCTGATGTCTGTACGAAAGGTTATCTCAAAGTGTACCTTTTGCCTAGCTACAGATTCACAGATGAAGCAGCTGTCACTTCCCATATGTGTAGCAACACATTATCAGCCCTGCTCTTGACACTGCTGCCTTCTGGGGTTGAAGGGTGTGGGAATGGGGGGGGAGATAAAACAAGAAGATAAGACAAAAAGGTACTACATTTACTTGTTTAAACTAGTTTATGAACTGGAATTTGTAAATGTTACTTCATGCATGAGGTTCAAGTTCAGACTTGGCATTCCCCCAAGGAACTTTCAGATTTGAAACACAGAAGTAGATTATTATTTTAGCCTATAATCTAATACTTTGAATTCATAAAGAATGTGTGCTCTGCTGTGCATGGCACTCCAAGACCAAGCATCACAGATTTCATTAGGAGGGAAAGATAAACCCTGTGATACATAACCAACGGTGCATTTGATTCTTCTTTTACTTTAACTAGCTAAAACTACCTGGAAATTCTAGTAAGCCATTATCTTTTTCAATTTATAATGAGGCACGGCAGGACGAAGCCTTAACACTGCAACTAGTCAATGTTCAAACTGTATCATACATAACTTGGATGACAGGGACACTCCTGGCCCCTGTATGCTGTAGTAGGAAGCTACAATGCAGTTTTGTCCTAAGGACCTTTAAGCGTTTTTGGGACTGATGCAGGTAAAAATTAAAGGGATGCTCCTAGAGCCACGTAGTAGCTGCTGCCCAGCATGAAAAGTAAGTTTTTCCCCACCATTAACCACTGTAGTAGAGGCAGCCAGAGGCCTAAGGTAACACCTGTATTTCAAGGCCAACTACAGGATTTCCTTTCTTGTGTGGAGCACGCACAGAGGAAGGCTGTGTTAGTCTGCAAAGGACTTGGTTATTGAAAGACATATGCCAACTGCACAGCAGCCACAATCTGCAGCCTCTTATACAGCATCCACTTGGACACAACCACAAGAGCCTTTGGTGAACAGCTGGAGCATAGGCCTTCAGTGGCATGATCAAGGGCTCAGTGTCTTCTGCAAATGTGTAACAGCATTGAAGAGTGACTAAATAACAAAAACAGGCTCATGTTTACCAGCTGTGTTTACAATCAGACAGAAGCTGTCTTTTCGTCTGCGAAAGCAATTAATGTTATTCCATATCAACAGCCACCACACACACACAAAAGATCACACACATCATCATTTTTCTGCAATCACAGCATCTCTTTGCGGGTGTCTCAGTGCTTTATGAAAGTAAATTCCAAAGTGCTTATTTCAATACTATGAAAGAAAAACTTGACTCTTCAGCAATGAGCAGTCTGATGCAGTTTCTAATTGTAACAAAACAATCTGAACCATGATTACAGACCCAGGCAGTGTTCACATGGACTTTGAGAGGTATTTCTTACCTACAGAAATGCACAAATATACACCAAGTGCTGTTTTGATCTTTTCCCTTCCCCAGTGAAGCTGTCAAGACAGAAGAAAGGGTAGTAATTCCTGTCTAGTTATCTTGAAGTGTCTTGCTACTGGAACTTCTTAAAAGTAGACTTTTAAAGGTTGGAATTTTTAAAAATTTATATTTTCCTGTGAGCAGCCTAGAAAAAAATGGTTGGTATGTGCCAATGTAAACATCTTGGTTTAGTCAGATATGGTTTTCTTCCCATTCTTCCAACAGTTTTCCGTATTTCCCACAAACAGTAGTATAGTCTGGCATTCTGTCAGACACCTTTTGCCCCAAGCTTGGCTACTTGTCACTACGGTACTTGTCTGCACTTTTCCTTTGCTTAAAAAGCAACAGCCTTATATAGAAGAAAACCTGAACCAGAAGCTACTAAAACTGAAATTTAAAAATAAATAAATAAACAAACTACAGTAGGAAAAATGACTCCGCACTGATTTTCTTATTCAGCAAGAGCAGGCAGCCCTCCAGAAACAGGAAGAGGGAATGTGACTTACTCTTCATAACTGTACACCAAAATTTATGAGTAGTTATCAAGCTACAAAATTCATCATATTCAAACTATCAAAAAAATAACAACGTAATATTTGCCTGCATAAGCATACACTGATTATTTTTTTAAAAGCAGTAATAGAATTAACTGAAAATTTTGGTAGTAGCTAGAATCTTCAATAAATGTACTTTTATACTGCTGAGGGACACCATTAAGAGCTGTTGCACAGTTGCTTCACCTTTCCTAGTAGCATTCTTCAACTCCCAAGTTAAAAGTCTTCTTGTTTTTTCACACCATGCTGCCTGAAGTCAGCACAATGAAATTCTTGAAGTCTACACTATTAATTTTATGGGCATAATCCTCCTCAAAGCAAAACATCTGTGTTTTCTAAAGACAGCATCCTTATACCAAATTGTCAATAAGTAAATGCATGTATGCAGAGGACATGACATCAATTTGACCAAAGGAAGCATTCTCACACTGACAGAAAACAGGATAAGGGAAAAAACAAAACTAGGAAGGATGAACTTTTACAGTTATAAGCACTACGCAGCTAAAACTACTTTCTGTCTGCATTAAACTTGTAAAAACAAAAAGGGAAATGTTTCTTGACTATGCAAATTGAAGAAAGTGAGTAGCGTAAAATCAAAATAAGAACAGGTCTGAGACTGTGCCAAAGCAAACTTGCACTAACTTTGTAGTCTACAGAATTATGTTGATTCAGAAGACAAAAATTACCCCTCCCAGTAATCTAGAGCAACCTTGGTCTCATTTATAGTTTGTTGGAAAGAAAACACATTGTTTCAGATTTCTTAATCTGTTTCAGAACATACAAGTACTTTGCAATTTAATATTAATACAATCTTTGGTGTTTTAAGTAGCAGTTAAATCTGGTGGCCCTTTTTTCAACCTTGCTCAGATATTTACTGGTTAATTTAAAGGAAAATTAGCAATTTCATACAGCACTTGTTTTTTTAGACAAACGTCTGTGTAGGACTTGAAACTTGTCTTCATTAAGCTAGTAAGAAAATTTAACATATATCCTTTCAAATATTTAGTAAGTCCTACTTTAAGAACATAAAACCCCCATATATCTTCACTGAGAGAACTTCAGTTTTCCCCCTACTGAAGATTTTGACCATTATGTAGCCATGCAGTCTTCCTCAGATAAGGAATTAGAAAGAAACACTGTTTCTAGAACAGGAGAAGTAACCAATTACACAGACTGTCCCCAGAAAAGGATAGGGAAAGTTACATTCTTACTATTCATGGGATGATTCACCACAAAAAACTTCCTGAGAAAGAACTACAGTTTCTTTGTGGTTTAGCTGCTGTGGACTTTGATGCTGATTTAGCAGACAGAAATGACTTCTCTTAAAAACACAATACAGTGCAGGTTTTATGTATGATCCTTCTGACAAGAAAGCACCCACACCAGCGATTTTTCTTGTATCTAACACAATCTGTACATGACCTCAGCTGCAATTCCTATGCTAGCACCAACAAAAGCTGATATTTTAAGCAGAAGTGTTTACATCAAAATAGAGATTGCAACATTCTCTTTGTGGCAGAGGTTTAGATTATAGATAAATTATCCATGAGTAACTTCAGCCTTCAGTTTCCTTTATAAAGAAGCTTTACTCCATCTGCAGCAAAATCTAGAGTGATAAAATTGCTGAACAAATACTACTATTATTATTTTTACAGCTGCTGAGTTATTATATTTGCACGTAGATACCAGAGTATGTAGTGACATACACTACAGTAAAAATTCCTGTTCCTTACATACTCTTCCATAATCACAGACTAGCAAAGACTAATTGTAACACAATGCAAACATATAAGTGAACCTGAAACCAACTCTTCTCTGTCATATGTCAGAGCCTGCCGAGATCCTCTTCTGCCAAAGAGAACTTCAATTTCCAAAGGCAATGAAGACATTGATCAGAAAATCTTATTCTTCAGGTTTCAGTTCACAAGTATTTTCAGGCAGTACGGAGGACCTCCTGCAGAGCTTTACACATCATCCACATCTGCAGAATATCTGGCTATTAAAAACTCAAGACACTGTTGTACATTAGACTGCTCTTCCTACAAGCATAGTGTCCTGTATGAAAAACAAAGCTTATGCACCCTATGTAATTAAGAGGCAGAAAGCAAATATTTTTTTTATTCAATTTTCCTTAACCTAGTGATCAACAGCCTTGTCCAACAATTTCAAATAAGAGATGGCTTAATCAAAAGGAACAAAAAACTGTTTTGTTTGATAGCAGTAGATGACTACTGAAAAAAATAACATTTACTAAACTCTTTAAAAGAAATGCAAGAAAAATATTCAAACATTCATTAAAACTGGGAGACTAAATTACAGGTCTAGAGAGATTTCTCTGTGTTCCTAAAATGCCAATGTCAATATTCAGTTATTTAAAATGCTGAAAACTACTTTTAGACTATTTAGTTCTTAGGAATATTAGAAATTATTAGAACTTTATACCACCACTAACTCACTGGCCTCCACCTGCTGACTGGAAAGAATTACAGTCAAGCAAAAGATTTATCATCAGACAGTCAAAGCATGGTCTTTTGATCCATGTGAACTTGCCTTCTCTAAAAATCTACAAGACATAAAAAGCTGTCAAAGAATGTATAGATCAAAATGTACTTTCATCAAGCATCAGGTGGGCCTACACTATCCATTATGGCCAAATAATGTCAAAACCTGTACACCAGCATATTGCTATTAGCTGCCTCTCCTCAGTGCTACAGATTTACAAGAGTATTACTCAAACCCTTCCACCTTCTTCACATACACACCTCCCCAAAGGCTCCTCGACCAATCACCTTCAGGATCTCAAAATCTTCTTTATGTAGTCGCATCTGTTTCACTTTAGATGTAAAAGGTTTGGCTGAAACAGAGGGAAAAAATCAATCATTAAAAAAAGCCAAGAACAACCCATACCAAAGTTAAAAAATAAGGTAACAGTAACATAAAATAGATGCAAAGCCCTGAAAACAACTGATCATTTTGCTTATATACCTCTAACTCCCTACTTTAACATAATGAAGTTTGAGGCTAGAAATAACTACCAGTAAGAACTAAGCCAAAACTACCGTGAAAAAAAGTTTATGAATTAAGCTTGCTTTTGCCTGGTTTTTTAAAAATTAAAAACAAAAACCCCCAGAGATTCAATCTGAGTGAATTTTTCTACAGACTTTTGACTTCACAGACATCCACTGCATCTGTGCTATGTAACTCTGGTTGCAAAAGCAAAGTATAATATAATGAGTTCACTTTGGACAATATTAATTTATTTCCCAATCAGCAAAACAATACTATATTCAACAAAAAAATTAAAATGCTGATGAATGGCAACTGGAAGGGCAATACTGGCCTAGACAATGTATCATGAAATATTTTTGGAGACTACTTCTTAAAAAATAGGAGGTCACTTAATAGTAAATTTTTGGCTTGTGGAAGCAAGGACAGTTCTACTCAAGACATTATTAACACATTCAGTGGAAAATCTGCATGTCTTATTAAGTTAAGCTTCATTTCCCTCTTCTTTTTCCCCTCTTTTATAATATATTTTAAAGCAGTGAGTAAAACAACATGATGTATTCTAGACAGGTAACCCCAGCATTCTTTGCACTGAAACAGTATCAGGAGGACTGTTCCCCTCTTTCAGCCCCATTTAGTACTTCAATAACCAGTTGTGTTTCATTTATATGTGCTCTTTGCATTCACACAATACATACAAGCTACCTCAAAACCTACGGAACGCGACCTTTGATAAAAAAAGAAAACATTTAAAACTTTAAATAATGACGCAGGAAAATGAGTTATTTTTAAAATTGTTTTAAAATCATGTTTAATACTTTACACAAATGACATGCTATTACTAAAACAGAAACTTCAGTAAACACGGTTTGTGAAAAAAGGTTGTATAACTAGGACTGGAATAGGTCTTAGAAACATTAAGTTCAATTTCTGGCTCAAAGGCAGACTTTCTCAATGATCCCAAACAAGCAACTTCAGATAATTCACACACAGTTTCACATCTATGAAACGGGACAGTATTTTTGCAATAGATAAGGCACTGGCCATCACATTCTTGGATCACAAAACAAACAAAACCACACATTCTAAGGTCACTGTTTTACAAGGCCCACAAAAATCTTATTAGCTTCTGCTTTCATAGTGCAGGGATCCATCTATGTCCATTTCTAGCTATACAGAGGCTGACGGAATTAGTACAGCTTTATTTGCAGTGAGGAGTTGTAACAGGCATCATACTGCAGACCAATTTGTTCAGAACAACATGTCTAAACAGAAATGGGGAACAATTTTCAAAAGCTCCAAAAGCATAAGACCCTAAGCAGCAACGGAATTAATATATGCCTAGAAACATTTGAGAAACCTAGTTTGGGTTCTTTAGAATTCAGTATTTTGTCTTTCAAATGTGCTGAACTAAACCTGCTAAAGCACCCAAACCCTAATACTAACCTAGATAATATCAAAATTCTAAACTGAATGATAGGTTAACACACATCCCTTCAAGGCACAACAGCACCCTTGGCCAAAAGCTTACGCCACTTCAGCAAAGCAACTTTATAAACTGAGTAAAAACACAGGTTACCTGTAGTTTTAATACCTAAAACACCCACAAAACTTCTTAATCCCAGTCCTTAAAGTAGCATTGTAAATCACATCTGAACAACAACAATGCAGAAATGCAGGGTCTTCAGTTAGTCCTGCTAAGCAATACAGCACATCTCTATTAACAGTAGTGGTATGATGGAACCCTTTCAAAATCTCAGAGATTCCGAAGTCAAAACTTAGCCTATTCTTCTAAAATTTCTCAGATGTCAGGAATCAGTTCTCTGCTAGGAGATACATGTGTTATAATTACAGGAACATCAGTTTATGATTAAAACTCCCAGGGTTTAGGCCCAAATAGTAAAGATGCAGCCACACAACACTGAGATTTTCATTTTAGTGATATTTTTACTTCACGTTTATAATAACTTAATTCAAAATATTCAGTTATACAATTAAAATACAGGTTTAATATTACATTGTAAGTACTTCTAATATGTAATTAAACCAGAAGTATATTACTTAAGTTCACAGAGATTCCCCAAACTTTCCATTAATCTTTTATCCAAAAGAATGGTCTTGCAATAGAAATAAGTGATAAGAAAACATACTGCCTTATTTGGACATTCTTAGCTGAACTTTACTAAACGATTGAATACAAATATTAATACTACTGACAAATACAACTCAACAAATTAAAACAAGCCATTAAAGCCTTCGAACTTGAAAAAACAACCGACTGAAAACAAACACATAGTTCTCAACTTCAGCATTTTTTGACCATTATAGGCTTGGCTACAGTACAAAATATCTTGTTAACAAGCAACAGCATAGCTGTTTAAACCACAAAACTCTTCCTCACTTTATATTGCAAGGAAAGGCCTTCATTCTTTAATTACTACATTCTGAAATCTTCCAGGGTTCCCATAGGGACACTGGAAAAATAAACATCACTGTAACTACTTCAGTAAAATACACCCGACAAAAATAGATTTGGAGTAGGTTTAGTGATTTGTAGTATTGGTGTTAGTGGAAAAGTTTGTAAACCCACCTCTGTAATTTTTTTATCATGTCTAGCAACAGGGATGTCAATGCACAGCCAAGCAGTTTTATGAAGAAAGATACAGCCCTAGGAAAATAGAAAGGAAAGGAAAAAAAAAAAAAGAAAGAATTGCCCTAGGAATGTGCTCCAAATAGCTTGTTCCAAAAAAGGTCAATTTGCTTTATCATCAACGTTGTTTGTCTGCTGTGCAAACATCTGCTGTTCTTGTGGCAACAGCAATGTTAAGTATAGAAAACTTGGCCTGGCCTAGGGTCTTGGAAGGCATATCTTCAAACAGCCATTTCATACATCCAGCTTTCCAGACTATGAGGTTAACAAGCAGACCTTTTGCAACTACTTTGGCAGCGTCGTACAAGCCACTACAAACAGAGCAAACTGTCAGGCCAGGGAATGGTTTTCAAAATACAATATGCGCTAAGGGGTCCCTGAAATGCAGCTCCATTAAAGCAAACAGGTACAAAGACCTTCCCTATTTACCTCCACTATCTCCCTGAACAGATCCAGCAC